AAGCACGCTGTAGTCGAAAGCACAGAGAAGCTACGGTGAGCAGGGTACGTAACTCGGCTTATCAACGGGGTATGGTCAGCGATGCTCGTCGACTAGCATCCTTGCAGACGAACTAGATCGCTTATCCGCCTAACCACAAGGGTAGAAAGATCGTATCAGAAGCCGGGAAAGCAGCGCTTGGGGGAGGGAGGGGAAGGCTCGAAACCGCGAGGAATGGTTGGTGTGTTGCGATCCGTTATTCCCAAGGCATGCTGAGCAGAAATTCTAACTGCGCGAGTATCACTGCACTTAACAGATAGCACTAAGCCAAGAATGGGCAAAAACGAGTCACTGGCACTTTTACTGCTTAAGATCCCCAACTCAAGAATGATGAAGAGATGATCACAAGGGAAGTATGATGACAATGACAATTTGAGGGCAATGTGTAAGAGAATGTTGACTGATAATGCAACAACACCAAGATCATGCGATTAGATGATGTACGGCGTTGTCTTCGTCGTCTGATCAGTGGTAGGCGGAAACAATGCCTTAGTTACACCAAAGCCACCTCACTTGTGATTGGTCGTCCCCATCCCCAAGAGGATAAAGCGTACAAGGATACCCAACTAAAGTATAAGAATCTTAATTTTTAATTCTTAGCAAAATTCTTAATGGCAATGACGAGCGACTGATGGGGATGACAGCATAGGGTCTGCCGCAAACTCAGTAAAAAACAGCCATATGCAATAGCGCAGAAAATCAGTATATGGCTGAATCCATGAGTAGTAAAGTGAAGCTATGCCTATGTATCTCACAAATTCGGTCAGAAGTATTCGAGACCACTGTTTGTAGGTACTGTTGCAAAGAGGGCATATAAAACACAGCACCACCAACAATCTGTGTCGAGGATGCGACTCAATAGGATTATCGCGCCAGTTTGCCAAAGCAACTGGCGCTTGAGAAACTTCATGCTTAATTTTAACTTTGGCGAAATCTTCCTGGATTTGTCCAATCGTAATCAACAACTTTTTCGGCGACATCGATCTAAACGTATCCACGGCGTTAAGAACATAAGAACATACCTGGATCCCTTTCGTTTAAGCTAGGCGGGCTTTCTTCGCTTTCTTCTGAACAGTCACTTAGGTCATTACGCTGCTCAGTGATTACCGTGCTACTGGAGGCCATCCTAAGAGGAGAAGAAATTACACAAAAAACAATAATAATAATTATGTATATATAAACAATAATTATATATTATTATTAAACAATAATATATTATTATTATATATATAGGCAACGGAGCAGGAGTAGGATTAGGAATAATCCAATAGAACCGGCATGGAAGAAACAGCGAATCCGTTTTAGATCATACCGATATGAATGGTCTAGTACTTCGGATGGTAAGATACTATGCTTATTATTACTAGACGGTCCAGCCGCCAGATGACATGACGGAGGAATGTCAGAATTTCGTTCATTCTATGCAAGGCTTGACAAGTTT